TCAGACTCAGATATGGTAGAGATTTTATAATTATCAAATTGGAAGTTAAAATAACTATGATTATTATGCTGAGGGCCTTAATGGAAAATGTGTATAATACGCAAGAACGGATGGATAATGTCAACAAAGAGAGGGAAACGCTAAGAAAGAATCAAAAGGAAATTCTACAAATCAAAAACACTGCAATAGAAATGAAGATTGCTTCTGGTGGGCTCATTAGTAGATTGGACACAGCCAAGGAAAGAATCAATGAACTTGAAAATATGTCAGTAAAACTTCCCAGACTAAAATACAAAGAGAAAAAAAAAAAAAAACAGGGAAACAAACAAACACAGAACTATGAGAAAATTACAAAAGGTGTAATATAGCATAATGGAAATACCAGAAGAGACAGAGAAAAGAACAGAAGAAATATTGAAGTAATAATAGCTGAGAATTTCCCAAAATTAATGACTGATACCAAATCACAGAACCCTGAAGCTCAGAAAACACCAAAAAAATCTATGCCCAGGAATATCATATCAAGCTCTATAAGATCAAAAACAAACAGAAAATCTTAAAAGAAGCCAGAGGAATAAAAACACCTTTCCTATACAGAAACAAGGATAAGAATTACATTAGGCTTCTTTCCAGAAACCTTGCCAACAAGAAGAAAGTAGAGTGAAATATTTAAAGTGTTGAAAGAAAAAGCATCCCTGTGGTAAAGACAAAATCTAAGCTCTGTGTGGAGCTATGAGTGGAAAGTGACTGCTCAGACATGCTCTACATCTCCCTGTCCCTTCTCATATAAATGTCACCATATAACTGGTTCTAACAAATGGAATGTAAGCAAAAAACACGTGTGTCACTTTAAGGCCAAGAAAAGGGTATGCCTTGGGGCGCCTGGGTGGCTCAGTCATTAAGCGTCTGCCTTCGGCTCAGGTCATGATCCCAGGGTCCTGGGATCGAGCCCCGCATCAGGCTCCCTGCTTGGCGGGAAGCCTGCTTCTCCCTCTCCCACTCCCCCCGTTTGTGTTCCCTCTCTCATTGTGTCTCTCTCTGTCAAATAAATAAATAAAATCTTTTAAAAAAAAAAGAAAAGGGTATGCCTTCTCCATCTTCTCTTTCCCCTTCACTCTGGTAGATGAAGAAAACCACAAGGTCCCAAGGGTGTGGCTGAGCCACAAGACGGAAGGATCCTGGGTCCCTAAATTGCAACATGAAAGAAAGTCTCCTGTAAACCAAGAATACCCACAAAGAACTGTTACATAAAAAAAATAAATTTCTATTGTTTGAGCCTTTATACCTTTGGGATCTGTTTGTTACAGCAGCTAGAACTACACTAGGTATTACAATTCTCTTTCTTCTTTTTCTAGAGAAACCTCTGAGTGTTCCTTAACCCTTTGAGGTGCTTTAGCCACATGCTTCTTGTCCAGGAACTTTCTAAGCCCTTTTAGGAATTGTCCAAATCAGGGTTTCCCTAACCATTTATCAAGATCTCTCAGGAATATTTTGAGGCTTTACTGGGAAATATCTAATGTTGAGGTCATATCTTGATCTTCTGAGGTTCCAGAATCCCAGGGAAGAGAAAGATACAGTTGGCAGTGACACACCGTTCCCTCTCCCAATCCAGCATTTCCATGTCCAAATAGCCGAAGATTTCCACCATGAAATGGCAACTCTCCTTTCCTCTCCGTCAGAGAAGCCTATGAAAGCCAACGTTGGGAACTCTAAGTCCAAGGTTGCCCATTGACACTGTCTCAATTAGCCATCGCCACAAACATCCTACATAACAAAGCCACCCCAGGACTCAATAGCTTAAGACAAAACAAAGATCTCTTCTCATTTTCACAGGATGGCTGTGTAGAAAAGGTCTCGTTCTGGAGCCTAGGCTGGAGGGACAGTGACTACCTAGGCATGGTTTTATCATGGCAGAGGACAAAAGTTCCCAGAGGTGCGGATGGAAACATGTGAGACCTTTTTGTATCTACGCTCAGGACTTCACACATAGTCACATTCGATTGGCCAAAGCATGTCATATGGCCAGGCCAAGTAAAGGGGCGTCAAAGTCCATTCTGCACACACGAGGCCTCAGCAGTTCTGCGATGTAACAGCAGGGTGTACTACCATAGGGATGCATTAATTCAGTCTACCACAGTCCCTGAAAAATACAGCCACAGGAGTTGTAGTATGCTTACCTAAGGTCCATGGGGCATCTACTGAAGGAGGTCAGAAATGTGTATTCACCAGGAGACACTACAGCTCAGTATGAATATTTTGTGGGACTTGGGCTCTTTAGAATCCCTATGACTTATGTACTGCAATAATTCAATAGGAGGAAATACGAAGTCAGACCAAGAGCATAATTAAAGAACTATTATGTTGATTTCATAGGTGTTCTGCTCACATTTAAGTACCTACTGATAGAAACCCATTCTATCAATCATTAAAGCCATGCACTGTCTCAAAGACTAGCTTCAGTCACTGCTCATGCAGACTAAGATGAAGTCTTAACAGGAACGGAATTGCTGAATGATGGAGCTGAAGGGAAGCTCTGACAATATCTGGCTGGTCCAATTCCTTCTTTCTGAAGATGAGGAAACGCAGGCAGAGACAAGGAGCATGACTTATGAGCCACTTAAATACAAATGTCTGCAGTGTATTGTGCCTTCCCCAGCACTTTGTTCCTGTGAGAAAGTTTTGTTAGCAGTTACGGACTTGTACTAAGGTGGGCCCCAGGACAATAATTGTGATCATGGGGCTGTGGGCTCAAAGTCAAGAATTCGGGTGAGTAGGGGAGCCTGGGTGGCTCCATCAGTTCAGCATCTGCCTTTGGCTCAGGTCATGATCCCAGAGTGCTGGGATTGAGACCCACTTCGGGCTTCCTGCTCAGTGGGGAATGTGTTCTCCTTCTCCATCGCCCTCTGCCCCTCCCCCATTCCTGCTCTCCTTCTCTCAAATAAAGAAAATCTTTCTTAAAAAAGATAATGGTGGCCCATTTGGTTGGCCTCTTCCCAGGAGAAACCCAATCAAAGCTGCATAAGAACTTTAGGGCTCTCAGAGTCAAAAACCCTAACATAATATTCCTCTTCAGTTATCTCATAACCTGTGTTAATATATATATATATATATATATATATATATATATATATATATTTTTTTTGTAAGCAGGGGAATTGCCAATGATGTCCCAGTATCCTTCTCTTTCCTGACACTCTCCTCACTTTCCCATTTACAGTAGTCATTTCTCAGAAAAGTTAAGATGGAAATGTCAATCAACTTGAGCTAAGACATCACTCCTGCTCTAAAAATGCTAACTTTACACACAGAAAGAACTGTTCATGAAAGGGAGGCAAACCATGAGACTTTTAACTCTAGGAAACAAACTGAGTTTTGCTGGAGGGGTGGTGGGGGGGGGGATGCCATAACTGGGTGATGGGCATCAGGAGAGGGCACTTGATGTAATGAGCGCTGGGTGTTATTATATACAACTGATGAATCACTAAGTTCTACCCTTGAAACTAATAATACACTACATGTTAACTAAATTGAATTTAAGTAAAAAATAAATAAAATTAATAAATAAAAAGAACTGTTCATTAAAACAAACAAGAAATGCTAACATCCTCACCTCTCCTGATATTTGAATAGTGTTCTTCTTCCATCAGTTAGACCTGCTTTGCTCTTGGGTTGTCCACCATAATTACACTTCAAAGATGTGTTTTTCATACTATTATGTTATGCATTAAGACCTACACAGCTCCACAGTAGCCTCTCCACGGCATAGAGAAGTAACATTCACATTATCAATAAATTGAAACGGCCACAAAAATTTGGAGAGATCTTTCCCAGCAGCTACTTAGATCTCAGGGACAGTCTAAGAAGTTTGACAAAACGCTCTCCTTGACCAAATTTTAGTCAGTCTCCTCTGAACCCTCTTCTCTACGAGGCCTCTATCTTGGGCACGCACACATCCCCCTTCCAGTCCACAGCCTTAGCCCACTTCTAGCAAGAATCCTGCTGAGTCAGTTTAGAGAGAACTCACCCCCACCCTGGATATCTGATCAGCCTGGCCTGTCATCAGCAAGAATTCCTCTCCCCCTACTGTCACCTCGGAATGTCTACCCACTGATTCCCTTACTCTGCCTGTGGGCTGTACTTCCCCAACCTATCTTTGCTGTATTCAGAGCTGAGTCCGTATCTCTCCCCTAGTGTGATAATCTCGACGCCTACTTCCATATTACTGAATAAAGTCTTCCTTTGCATTTTAACACAAGTGCCAGAATAATTTTTTTTTTTTTCCTTGAACGACTTCCCAACAAAAACCCAAACCCAGAATCTTTTTCTGGAATGAGAAAGGCTTCGGGGCTTGTCTGCTCATTGTCCAAAGAGCTGTCCTTTGAACGTTTCGGAGAAGATCTCTCTATATAGTTACTTCCTCCACGAGATTACATGCTCGAGCTTTAACAGGTAACAACTACGCGTACCAGGAAGTTCCTTCCCCATGTATACTACGAACCCGGAGTTCTGGACCTACGCTTGCCAGCATCCGAGGATGCTTCCCCAAAGATCCTGGACCCCTCCTTAGGCCCCTCCACACTCCCTTGCTGGTCTACCCTTCATAACGCATTCCTTGAAGCTTCGACAGGGTGCCTCGGGTGCTCCTCCAAGCAAAGGCAAACCACTGGTGAATGCAAACGAGCACAGGGATAAGTGCACCCAGGTCACACTCCGTTAAAGCGTAAATCCGGGGTCTTCCTGCCTCCGGCCCGCCCAGGGCGCACACAGCGCATCGGAAGCTGACGGCCCCCGGGGGGGGCAGGGTAGGGAGGGGAACCGAGAGGGCGGAGGGCACCGCGGCGCAGGCCGGTGCGAAGGAGACGCGAGGAGGGTCGGGAGCTCCGCGGGGAGGAACGTGACGAGCCGACCTGCCGGAAACTGCGCCGGGAGGAGGGTCCGGAGCTGGAGCGGGGCCGTCCCCCGGCGCCGCCGAGGCCCGCTGACATCAGCCGCGCTCCTCCCCCTCGCCTCCCAACACCCTCAGCTCACGGCCGGACCCTCCTCCTCCCACCACGTGTCCTGCCCGCTCCCTCCCGAGGGGCCGCGCGCACGGGAGAGCCGGAGAGGCGGCGGGGATGGCGCTGTGACAGCCGGGCCGGAGCCCTCGGCGTCTCCCCCCGCTGCCACGGCCCGCGCCCCGGCCGCTCGGTGAGTGCGCGCGGGCGGCGAGCCGGAGGCCCGAGGTGGCGTGGCCCTTCCCGCCGCTCCGGGGCGGCTCGGCGGCGGCGGGGGCGGGGGCGCGAGGCTGCAGCTGCAGCGGCCGCCACCGCCTTTGTTGCGGGCCCGCCCGGGTGGCAGGCGGTGCCGGCTCCCGCCGCCCGGCAGGTGCGCCGGGGCGGGGAGGGGGCCCGGCGGGGAGGAGGGCTGGGCCGCTGGGGGCGGGGGGCAGGCGGGGGCGGCGGGAGCGCTCCCGGCGCGGGACCCGGGAGAAAGGGAAATGGGACAAGATGGCTGGAGAAACCCGAGCGCGCCCGGGGGCGCGGCGGCCGCGGGCGGGGCGCGGGGCCGTGGGCGGGTGGGCGGCGGCGGCCGTGGCTGCGGGCACCTTGCCGGGGACACCATCGCTGCCGGGCGGTGTCACCTCTGCCCCCACCTCTTGCCCAGGAGCGGGCGGGGGAGGCGGCGGCCAAGTTCGGGCCCCAGCTCCCAGGAATCTGAAGCCTGTTCCGCTCGTCCCAGACCCGTCGCATTCGCCAGTCCTTTTTGGAAATCTAGAAAAAGCACACTTTGAACTCTGGAGGGATCTTTTCTTTGGAAGCCCGGGAGGTTGCGGTCCACAAGATGCACACTCACTCACACCTAGTAATTGCCCGCGCCCCTAGAGGGCAGGAACGCGGCCCTTTGTACGGGCCTACTGCTCAGGCAGAAGAGTATTTTCGGCCCAGAGGCCTTTCCCGGCGGCGGTGGGCCCTAGCAGACTTCTGCACCTTCTTGGGTATCCAGGCATACACCTCACTATGTATCACTGAGTCTCGGGTTTGGAAAAATCCCTTAAGGCAGAATGACTATTTTCTGAACCAGCTCATGGACAGAATCTTTGACTTTGGAAAATCCAGGTGATGGTTATTCTGGTCCTACCAACCTCCTGATGCTTAACTGGCCTGTAGGGACAACCCAGTTGAGCAAGTGTCCTATCTGTATCTAAACACCTTCAATGATAGGAAGCCAACACCCCTTTCCTGCCACAGATTTCATGTTTGAGTGGCACTGACTGGGAGCAAGTTCTGTCTTTGCACTCTTTAGAACCTCTTCCAGGAATGTTTACCCACTGGCCTGTTCTGCCCCTGGATCTCTACAGAACCAGTCTGGGCTCTTCCACAGGTAGTTTTTTAAATATTTGAAGGCAGTCAGGTATGTTATCTGCCTGCACCCCCTCTTATCATAATTAAATATGTCACCTTCCAGCTTCCTGGTGCTTTTCCTAAATCCCTTCCTCCCCAGGCCCGACTCCGTTCCTTCCCTTATTCCAGCCTGAACAGTGCTCAGAGCTAAGAGGTTTGTGCAAGCTAAGCCACCCCCATCCCAGGCTTTGAAGCGTTCACACTAGCGCCTGATTTTTCTCAACTGAATCTTGCTTGCAGAGATGGAGTCCACAGCCTACACTCTCAATTTGACCCTAAAAGAGGAAGAAGAGGAGGAAGAGATTCAGAGCCGGGAACTGGAAGATGGCCCCACGGATATGCAGAGAGTCCGGATCTGCTCAGAGGGTGGATGGGTAAGTAAGGAGATGTGGGGTCCACACAGCTATGAGGAGAGAAGCAGGCCTGGGAGCCAGGCTTGTTTTAAGTCTCCTCCTCAGGCAGACATAGGAAGTAAAAATAGCCCAGCCCAGCCCGGTATGTTTGCATTCCTGAGAAAACAGTCCTGTGGCTTTAAAAGGCACTGTGAAGAATGGAAGAGCTGGTTCTAGGAACAGTCTCTTCAGCCATGGTGCTGATCAGCATTCGGGTTGGAAATTCCGGAGGTGGAGAGCTCATCTCTATGCTGTTCCCCTGAGTCCCCTACACCCTGCTCAGTGTCCGGCGTGTTGCAGACACCAACTACCAAACTATAGGGTTTGCTGACCTATGTTAAAGAAAAAAAGTTCTGATGCTTGTGAAGGTGGTAAGGAAGAGTGTTCAGGACTGTTGAGACAGGTGTCAAGACTGTTGTGGTAGGGGAGAGTTGGGGCTCAGCACTGAATACAGTGAGACCCGTGGGGATTTCTAACCAAGGAGCCAGAGCAGAGGGGTCCATGGAGGGAAAGTTACTAAGTGGAGACATCAAGAATAGGGGGGATTCTCGCTAAACTGACTGAATAAGATTCTTGCTCAAGGCAGGCTAGGGTGATCAAATGTCAAGAGTGGGGGAGTCTTTCTAAACGGACTTAGCAGGATTCTTGCTAAGACGGGACTGGGCAGGCTGAGGACAGGAGGGGAGCCCACAGGGTGGCCTGGCAGAGAGGAGGGCTCAAGGAACCTGGCTGAGTTTGGGAAGGAGAGGGTCTGCTGCTGGTTGGAGGGACCCCATTTTAAATAAGACTTGGGGCATTGAGCTGACACGAGGAGAGCTTCAGGACACGAGGCCAGTTCTTTGTGAACACGTCTCGGGATCGCGCACACATAGGAGAGCTGCATTTCCTGCTGGCCTGAATTGAAGGATTGGGGTGGTAGGCAGCAGAGACTGTGGGACATATCCAAACAGAAGAGTGTGACAGAGTAAACTTATGAGAATGTAAATGCAACATGGTCCATCCAAATCCCTGCCGGTCCGCCTGTGGCAGGTCTCATGTGGACCAGAGCTCCCTAGAAGCCTCACCCCGAGAAGTGAGCAGGGCTTGTGCCGAGGGCGCTTCTGGACACTCCAGGGGGGAAAATAGGTATTTATAGATATCTGTGTAATAGATATTTATCATTATAATTGTGTATAATTATTCACAGTACATACTGGACATCGTGACATTTGGGCACAAATGGTGAAAATCTTAAACGTGCAACAAACTGACATTCCTTTTCTCTGCTTAGTTTTATATGTGAACATTATCAGTACCCATTATATTCTTTGTTTCCAATAGGAGATCTGTATTCATAGAATCCTGGTCCTCCCAGATGTCCAGTCCAGCTCCCCTCCCACACGAGGGAATCGGGGAGCAGAGAGGTTATCTACTTTGCCCCAAGGATATGCATGTTCACTGATATTTGTTCTGAAAAATACCTATTGAGCTGGACCCTTAAAAGTAGTGCAGTTTGTTGTGTATATACCTCAATAAAAAAAAAAAAAAAGACGAAGAAAAGAAAAACAATACACCACCAGGCTCTGGGTCCGCAGTCTGGCTCTGTAGGCTGCACGGCCCTTTTGTTTCTGTGTTCTCTGCCATCCCAGCCTCCTCCCCGATTCGGCTCCCCCACAGCTGGGGAGACCTTGGAGGACAGGAGTCAGTCCCATCTGGCCTGGAACGAGACCTCAAGGCAGTAGAAACCTTGGGCTCTAAGGCTATATTGGCCAACCCAGAACATCTAGATAGCGTGAAAAACCTTGGACAATGAGCAGAGTGAAGGTGGACCTTCAGTGTGGCAGGCAATGTGGCAGCAGGACAGCGAGGAGAGAGCAAGGCGAAGACCATGCCTGGCTGGGAAAGAAGGAGGTAGCTGCAGGGGTTGGGGCGGGGGGGCTGGCTTTGGGGGCCTCCACGCAGTCTGCCACCCATCTGCAGTTACTGAGCACAGCGGTGGTGTTCAAGACAAGATCCCTAGTCCCCTGGAGTTGCCAGTCTTGTGAGGAAGGTAGGGAAGTGGACATACTTCATAGTACGTCATTCGGAGTGCAGTGGGGGGCGGTAGCTCAGGAGTGGGGTCTCGTTCAGGCTGGAGAGCTCAAGAGGCTTCGGGCAGAAGGACCTGGTCTTGAGCAGTGGGTAGGTTGACTCCTGGGGACGTTTGGCAATATCTGAAGACATGTTTGGCTCTCATGACTTGGGTGGGGGTTGGGGAGTGGGAGATCCTAGTAGGCATCTCCTGGGGAGAGGCCAGGGACACTGCTAAACATCTACAATGCACAGGACAGCCTCCACAGCAAAGGATTATCTGGCTCAAAACGTCATTAGTGCTGAGGTTGAAAAACCCTGCTTTAGGGTATTGAACCAGGGAAAGAAAAGAAATGAATCTGTTCCTCAAATAGGTATTTTGGTTGTAAGAGAATTGTGTTAGGGTGATCAATAAAAGCCTTTCCGACGTAAGAACCGTGCCATATATTAGGATAATACTCCATAGGAGAATTGGAGTAGAAATAAGAGTTTCGAGGAGAGAAAAGGAAAAATGTGTCTTGAGCTGAGTCTCATTCACGAGTGGCACTGGCCAAGGGAAGGGAGGGGGCTTGCGCTCCAGACACGAGGAAAGCATAAGCAAGAGCCCCCGAGAGGAAAGCTTGCGTGCGGGGTTAGGAGCAGCTCCCGTAGCCAAGTGGCCCTGCTGAAAAAGCACGGGCTTTGGAGTCAGACTCCCTAACTCGGTGACTGTGGGCAAGTTACTTAGCAGCTGTTTCCTCACGCATAAAAGTAGGGTAGTGACTCCCATTTCTTTATATTGTTGAAAGGATTCTGCAAGATCATCTCTTTAAACGTGTAAGAGGGACTGCCCTGCCCAGTGCCTGGCAGCCAGCAGGCGCCCCCTGCGGATGCGGGGCACAGCCCTTGGCCCCAGGAGCCCTACCAGCTTCGCTGGGTGGTCGTGCCGCGTCCCCAGTGAGGCTGTGGGTGTCTGGGTACTTCCCTCGGAGATCCACCGGATGCCGGCCTGCTGGCAGAGCAAGGCCACACACAGCTGAAGGGAAGAACACCTCTCTGATGTGCCCTGGATCTTCTGAGGAAAGGGAAGAGGACGGAGATTGAGGGTCCTCCCTACCTGGGAGGCCGAGAAAGGGTGTCTGGGGGGATTGAACACAGGCTGCCTGACTTTGGAGTTTTGCCCAGGGCTCGCCCTGTTTACCTTACTGCTGTGCTTAGCCAGATACAAAGCTTCTGTGGAGAGAGGGGAGGCCTGCGCCACGGGGCCTGGCTGAAGGCTTGCTCGATCCTCACAGAGGGCTGCTGTGAAGAGAATTTCTAAGCCACGGCACTGTGTGTCTCTGGAGCATAATGTGGGCTTGTTTGAAGATCCTCTGTGGATCAGTCATAAATACGAGGAGATGAATCTGGCACCAGCCAGCCTCTAGCCACCCTTCTTATAACTTCGGGGCTCCTGATATTTTTACCAGGCCTAGGATACGTTACCTTTGTGAGTATCGATAGACCCTCTGAAATGACAGGCCTTGCCAGGCCTGTGTCCCATTTTATCAGCAAAGGGAAAAGGACTCTAAATAGGTATGGCCTAGATCTGGAATTTCCTAGGGAGAGAAGAGGCCAAAGAGAGAGTTGTTCAAAAGCCTGGAAAGTGGGAAGGGGTGGGGTGGAAAATTCCTGGCTGCCTGGCTTTCCAGATTGATGAAGCCTGAAGAAAACCTAGCGATCCATCCCTTTTCACCTCCTAGTATCTCACCGTATTTCAAAGAGGAGGCTTGGTTTTGTGCCAGACAATGGCTTAATGATCATTTGAAGCTATTCTAAGTGGAACAAGAGAAGGGAAATTCGGATATTGTTTGCTTAAATCAAAAACACATTGTTAGGTGATTACTATCCACAAGAAGTGTCCTAAGCTTAGGGAAAATGCAGTAAGCATAGGTTTTGCACTCAGTGAGCCTGTGTTTCAGTGGAAGAAGCAGACAAGTAAACCAAAAGAATATGCATTGCGATAAGTACCACCATAGTGTTGGCCTCCGGGTACCGTGGGAACATGCAGGTGGGCACACGACCCAGGTCAGGGTGGGCTTCCCGGGGAACAGGACATCTAGGCTAAGCCTTGGAAGGTGGGTGGGTGTCAGCCAGGCCAGAAATGGGGAGAACCTCTGAGGCCATGGGAGAGCCATGTGCGGGGACATGAGGTTTGCTTGGGGACCTGCAGGCATTGAGTATAGCTGTGCATGGAGGTGGGGGAGAGTGGAGGGCTGGTCACCAGGGAGGCCACTTTGCTTTGTAGGGCCTGGAGCCTTCAACCCAAAGAGTGCTAGGTCCAGACCTCAGTGCTGCCATTTAATGGCCTCTCTGAACCCATTTCCTCCTTGATTAAATGGGGTGGTTGGAGAAAACAGATGAAGCAGTTATAGGGCCTCTCCTAGGAAGTGCTCCCTACATATAGGGAGATGTGAGACTGGGAGTGAGGGAAGTGGGAGAGTGAGAGTGGGAAGGGAGGACATGGACTTCGGGAATAAGGAGAAATGCCAATGTCCAAATGACTGATGGCTGGACACCTGAAGAAGCTACAGGCTGTGCAGACACTAATTTTCTAAGCTGATGAAAAACGGTCTCATAACTACCCAGGCTCTGGATTCAGCCTTGGGGAATAGCTTCGAAAGCGACAATACAAAGGAACCAGCCTGAAACCCTCGCCCAGTGATTTCTTACCGCTGAATATGATGAACTTTGGAGGAGGATTTTTAATGACCGAAAGAAACAACATGGTAAAGAGAAAAGCACATAGTTGAGTAAACAAGAGGAGGATGGTTTTGGTGGCCTGGCTGTCTCTAGCTGCCAGTGGCCATTCCCACAGGGGTGGGGGGCGTGGGGGCAGTGGGGAGAGGAGTAGAGCTGCCTTCTCTGTCCTTAGGGCTTTCTGCCGAAGGTCTAGGCATGAAAGCAAACTAGTTTGCTCCAGTATCTCATTACATAAATTTAAGCTCTAATTAGCTCTTCTCTCCTCCTACTCACACTCTTGTAGATTAGAAAAAGCCAAATGAGGCCCTCTCTCTCACTGGCTCCTCCCTGGGCGTTGGGTTCTGAGTCAAACACTAGGGCTGGTGCCCCTGGAAATGGAGAACGGTGCCCAGGAACCCCACTCCCCCACCCCCCGCCTCCTCCTGGGCCAGAGATCTGCCGACTCAGGAAGGCAGGGGATGGTTGGGCGGGTTGTATTGGTAGGGGGATTGTCTTAGGGTGTTTCCTTGGGTGTGGTTGCTCCTGGCTCTACAGTGGGGGCTGAGCTGAGATCAGCTGTCCCTGCAGTGTGTGTCCCAGCCTGGTGATCTGGTGATCAGTGCTGGGGAGTTTCCCTTCTCAAGGTGCAGTGATAGACACTCAGCAGGGCACGTGAGACCTGTGCTGTGTGCTTGTTTCGCCTCTAGTGGCCTAGTGATGTGGACAGAGCGTGTCCACCTGGTCAAGGCCCCTCCCCTGTGAAATGAAGATGTGTGAGTCTGTGTCTGCATGTGCCTGTTAGTCGTTGAGAAAGGCCTGTTCACTGTTTCAGGTGCCCGCCCTATTCGATGAGGTGGCCATATATTTTTCCGATGAGGAGTGGGAAGTTTTGACGGAGCAACAAAAGGCCCTGTACCGGGAAGTCATGAGGATGAATTATGAAACTGTCCTGTCCCTGGGTAAAGCTTTGTTTTCCTTTGTCTCCTGGAAGCTCTGAGCCCAGAGAATTGTTTCCATGTCTCTTCTCTGGTGTGTCCAACATCCCTTTCTCCTGAACTTGGACTCTGTCCCCTCCATGCCTGTGCCCATTTAATTTCCTGTTTTTGATGTAGGCAGGATATAAATATTGTGTCCTTCTACCCAGCAACTTGTGCCAGTTCTCCGAACTATCCCTATTCAACCCAGGCATTCACATAAAAAAAGTCATAACTTGGGGCGCCTGGGGGGCTCAGTCGGTGAAGCAACCGACTCTTGATTTCAGCTCAGGTCATGATCTCAGTATCGTGAGATCAGAGCCCCATGTCACGCTCTGCGCTCAGTATGGTTATCTGCTTAGAATGTTCTCTCTCTCTCTCTCCCTCCCTGTCCCTCTGCCCCTATGCACCACATGCGCATGCACTCCCTCTCTCTCAAATAAATAAATCTTAAAAAAAAAGACATAACCTGAGAAATGTCAACACAGGTCTGGGCCTATGCTTCATATATTCCTTAGGAGGGAAGGCAGGCCTCATTATTACCCTGTCAAGCCTCAGCCACTTGGGAACATAACCCGAAAGAATCCTTTCTTCCCTCCCAGCATTGATAAGCCATGTAATTAGAATGTAACCATTTGGAGGCATTTCCTAGTTTGCTCATATATGAATGTTCAGAATGTTCAATAGGTAGTCACTGCATCTACCCACTTCCCTACTACATGCAGTGCTTTTTTGTTGTTGTTGCTAGTACCAGCCCTCATTAGCAGAGGTCCATCAATTCCGCTGGACAGACTTACTTCCTATCATATTTTTTCTTTTAAGTATCCCTGAGCCCTTTCCCCCGTCTTCTGTATATCTCCACATTGAGAGTAGCTTGTGTGCGGGAGGGTGTTCCTGAAGTATTATAAAATACTCATTTTGGCAGTGCTCTAAGCCAGTAACGCACAGCTGTAACCTGTTCTATTTCCTACAAACAGAATTCCCATTCCCTAAGCCAGACATGATCACTCGGCTGGAAGGGGACGAGGAGTCCCAGAATTCTGATGAATGGCAGTTCCAAGGAGGAACCTTTGCAGGTACAATTAAACCACTCCAGCATCCATCCACTGGGGAGCATGGGGAGGCTGGATTTTAAGTTTCCATATACATTGTGTGGGGTATTTAAGAGTAAGGCAGGGTTATGAGGCGGAAAGATGATGGGCTTTGGAATTTCAGAATCTTCTTTCCAGTGCTCCGTGACCTTAGGCCACTTCATTCACCTCTCTGAGCCCCCTTTTCTTCCTCTGTCAGCTGTGGGTAATACATCTCAAGGTGCAACTTGAGATGTGCATGAAGCACTTTCAAGCTTGTATGGCATTTGGTCCAGTGGGTGAAGGAGGCCACCTCCGTAGTGCACCATGTACCTCTGAAAACCAAGGAAAATAATGTGACGAAGCATGTGGCCAGGGTTATTTACCCTGGTTTCTTGTCCATTTCATCTTGGATAGAAAAAGCAAGAACAGATGTAGTACATATGTGAGCAGATATGTCTGAGAAGCACATGGTCCTTTATCAAACATCATAGTTAGGAGGATAACAGTTGGCTAAATACAGGTTTCAAGCAGCCAGTGGTTTTACTCACCTTCTCTCTAGAGCTAAGAGTTTAAAATGCCATATTTTATTGATTCTAAGACATTTTCTCCCCACCTTGTTAACATCTCTGAAGTTAAGAACACCTCTTAGAATTAATGGCATTTTTTTTTCTTTTTTAATGGTGTATCTTGCAGCTGATGGCATCTTAGTTTTGGTGAGAAAGGACAATTTCTCCAAGTACTATTCAGTTTCTTTGACCACCTTCTAAACACACACGTACAGTGAAACCCAGTTCTGACATTGGTGTGAAGGAGCTAGTGTTCTGCCTTACAGGCTTAACTGTGCTAAGTATGGTTTTGCGGTAGATTTTCTTGGTTTAAGGAATGTGATTCGGGCCATGGTGTATCTAAATTCTGTACTATTATATGGTACTATGGGTTATATTTGGTTTTCCACCCACATAAAAATATTTTGACCCAAACGTGGCCCACAAAACAAGCGTGTGATCCGAGTCAGGTACCTGTGTTCAGTTCCCAGCTCTGGCACTTTCTAGCTCACCTACCTTGATGCCTCACTTCACTTCTGTAGCTTTATCTGCAAAGCGGGAGTAATGATACATAGGTGTTATGGGAATTAGACGCGGTGACCTATAGGAATTGGCACAGGAGTAAGGACTCTTAGGAAATGCTTTCTGTTATTAAGGTTACGGCTTTGGGTGGACTCTCAGATTAAGATATTCTTAGCATTTCGACCCAACAAATCAGGGAATAGGCCAGAAGTCATTTTAAGTACTGACCTCTTTGCCCCTCCCTGTTTGTCTCCCAGAAAATGAAGAGTCTGATGTCAAGCCCCCAGATTGGGTGGGTCCGATGAACGCCACCCCGCAGTTTGCTCAGCCCCAGCACCTGGATGGGTTTGGCCTCCGCCTGCCCCGGGACCTCACAGAGCTCCCCGAGTGGAGCGAGGGGTACCCCTTCTACATGGCCATGGGCTTCCCAGGGTATGACCTCTCGGCGGACGAGATTGCGGGGAAGTTTCCGTTCAGCAGGGGCATGCGGCGCAGTTATGACGCGGGGTTCAAGTTAATGGTGGTGGAATATGCCGAGAGCACCAACAACTGCCAGGCTGCCAAGCAGTTTGGAGTGCTGGAAAAGAACGTTCGAGACTGGCGCAAAGTGAAGCCACAGCTCCAGAACGCCCACGCCATGCGGCGGGCATTCCGCGGCCCCAAGAATGGGCGCTTTGCCCTGGTGGACCAGCGTGTGGCCGAGTATGTCAGGTACATGCAGGCCAAAGGGGACCCCATCACCCGGGAGGCGATGCAGCTGAAAGCGCTCGAGATCGCCCAGGAAATGAACATTCCGGAGAAAGGGTTCAAGGCTAGCTTGGGCTGGTGTCGAAGGATGATGCGAAGGTACGACTTGTCCCTGAGGCACAAAGTGCCCGTGCCCCAGCAGCTGCCCGAGGACCTGACCGAGAAGCTCGTCACGTACCAGCGCAGCGTGCTGGCCCTGCGCAGGGCGCACGACTACCAGGTGGCCCAGATGGGCAACGCCGACGAGACGCCCATTTGCCTTGAGGTGCCGTCACGGGTGACGGTGGACAACCAGGGCGAGAAGCCAGTCTTGGTCAAGACGCCGGGCAGGGAGAAGCTAAAAATTACAGCAATGCTGGGTGTCCTGGCAGACGGGAGGAAACTGCCGCCGTACATCATTTTGAGGGGCACGTACATCCCCCCCGGGAAGTTCCCCAGCGGCATGGAGATCCGCTGCCACCGCTACGGATGGATGACGGAGGACTTGATGCAGGACTGGTTGGAAGTGGTGTGGCGGCGGCGGACGGGCGGGGCGCCCAAGCAGCGCGGGATGCTGATCCTGAACGGCTTCCGTGGCCACGCCACTGACTCGGTGAAGAGCTCCATGGAGAGCATGAACACCGACATGGTCATCATCCCAGGGGGCCTGACCTCGCAGCTGCAGGTGTTGGATGTGGTGGTCTACAAGCCACTCAACGACAGCGTGCGGGCCCAGTACTCCAACTGGCTTCTGGCCGGCAACCTGGCGCTCAGCCCCACCGGCAACGCCAAGAAGCCGCCCCTGGGCCTCTTCCTGGAGTGGGTCATGGTTGCCTGGAATAGCATCTCCAGTGAGTCCATCGTGCAGGGCTTCAAGAAGTGCCACATCTCCAGCAATCTGGAAGACGAAGATGATGTCCTGTGGGAGATTGAGAGCGAGCTTCCAGGGGGAGGGGAGGCCCCCAGGGATTGCGATACCGAGACTGCGCGGGAGGGCAACTGACACCCGGTGGAGAACTAAGGTAACCAGGCAGGCCCAGGTGCACGCTTGGCGCCTTCACTGACAGCCCTGTTTGTGTTCCACAAACACCCGCCCTCTTACCATCCTTTCCTTCGGTTCCAAGAACTCTCAAGCCTATGGTACGGTACCACAGGTAACAGGCCCTCGGCTGCTCCTGGACGTCAGTCTGGTGTCGCTTGGCTTGCTTGTGGGGGTTTTGCTCTGAGGCCTGGCCCCGGGAGTGCTTGTATAGTACATAAAACGAACAAAGAGTGAGCTACCGGAACATTTAATCTGAGAGCCGTCATGCTCAAATTATTTGGGCCTGACATTGCTCAGTTAAAGTTTTGCCCGAAAGCCAACTTTCTTCTTTCCCTTACAAATCATGTTGAACATTTAGGGCCAGGTGCACGGTGCTCCCTTTCACTGGCCTGTAGGGAGAACGCAGTGATGTCTCGAGAGCACCGTGTGCTCCGTGCCTCAGCTCAGTCCTTGAGCGGTCGCAGAAGCCCGCTAGGACGTGAGAACTGCAGCTTAGGCTGGCTTTTCCCTGGGAATTCAGAAGTGCTTTAGAACATCCTCTTCGTCTCATAATGACCTTCACATGGGTGGAGTGAGCAATTGCAATAATTTCTTGTAGTCCACTGAGGTCTGAAGGGATTTCTAAATTGAATGCACCAAAAAAAGAAAACAGGGCACATATCTAGGACTACAGTGAGGACTAGGACAATAGGCCTGGAATTTTCGGAGTTGACTATAGAAGGGGAGCAGCTTCAAGAGGAAGCGGGGAGTGGGGACTAACCAGCAACACCAGTGGAGGCGAGCCTACTCCCCCCCCCCCACCTTACTCCCCCCCCCCCCCCACACACATACACACCTTGAGATGGGAGAACAGCCAACCAGGTACAGTGGGGGAGCAAACAATTCATCTTACCCTCTCGCTCTCCTTTCCCTAATTGTCAGTTAATTTGTTTCCCAGAGACACAGTGTTTAATATGAAAGGTCATTCCTTCCTTTACAGAGGACCTAAAACTATCTTGACATCTCTTCTTCCTTTTGTAGCATAACTCCATGGTTCCATCCTACTTGCTTTTTTTCTCCAAAGGAAATGCTAACTGAAGTCTTTCATCCCTCTCCTCGCTGTGTAAGTGCAGGAGTGACTTCTGTCTCTTTCCCTGCCCCCAAGTCAAAGTGGACTCATACTGCTGGACTCCAGTGTAATTCTGAGACCCCTGGATAACAGTGGCGCCAAGGAGGAGTTCTTACTGTTACATTCAAATCACCGAAACTGCTTCCCTGCCCCTCATGTCCCCTACCCTGTCCCTCCACGAACTCAGCCTCCCTTTTCTGCTAACCATTATACTGACTCCATTGGAAAGCAAACTTTGGATTATAGTGAGTTTTTCATTCTTTCCTCATTTTACCCCCCCCCCTTATACATTTTTTATTTTCTAAGCTCTTTGCTACCAGGAGAGGAAAGGGGAAAAAAAGACAAGGGCTAGGCTGCAGCTGTGAAGGTGGGCATTTACGTCTATCAACCGTGACCTTTTGCTCATCATGACCACCAGTTCCCTATACAATAGCTGCCCTTTTGTGAACGGAAGAAGTGATAGAAGTAGTTGGGGATGCTCAGTAAACAGGAGACTGAGGAGGGGACAGATGGGCATAAAACTGCCTCTCCTCATCTATTTGGAAATCTGACTAATGGAATAATTTTGTTAAAATGTGTACGATTTCTGAAATCCAAGGGTTAATTCACACTTAGGTTCTCTCTGTTTTTGAAACAGGTGGGGAGGAAAACCCTCAAGAAGATTCCTCAAAGTGTGGATGCACAGGGAGCCGCAAAAGGCCACAGGGCTCGGAACAAGCCCACATCTGGACAGCCACCTGTGTACCCCATCCTGCGACGTAGCCCAACCCCGCCCCACATCCACAAAGTGTCAGAAAAGGTGTCTGGGACCCTTGATTTCAGCAGAGACATGATTAGGGAAGAAACTGCTTCTGCCCCATTTTTTGTTTTGGAGATTAATCCATGTAAATATGAATGAACAAAGGTATTTCCTGGAGAAGAGACCGTTTGTTCAACACCAACAAGAGACTCAGATGGGCCCAACTCCACTGGTGTCCTTTCTGTGGAGCAAACCTCAAGTAAATGTTTTCTTTTGCCTTTAAAAATGCTTCCAAGAGTAGAACCTGTGCCCACACAGGACAGGACTGCAGAGAAGGCTGTGTGGAAATGAGTCATTTATGTGTACCTGCTACTTACGTATTTCCTCTTTTGGAAAAATGAGATACTAATGATAACAAGATTCAGATAGACTGGCCTGGTGCCGGCAGATGGCTTTTCTACAGACTAGGTTACAGTAAGATACAGGTTAAAATAAACTGCTGTTTTATTTATCTTCCCAATCTGGTTGGCAGCTAGAATTTTTCAGGGCCTTCTTTAAGGGCCCTATTTGTCATTATACTTAATGACAGGGCAGCATTTTAGTACACGAGCTTTTTCTCAGGCTGCCTGCACAAGTCACCATGAATTATCTGCTGTCTACATGGTACAAGGCTCATTGACTCATCTGATACTTGTTCTGTTGATTTCTTTAGTATTTTTGTCACAAGGGTATGAGAGGACATGGGCTTTTAGCCACAGCCGTTGCAAGACTTCTAATCTCCTTCTACCCTGCAGGAATAAATGGAAGATCTTTGAATTTTTACATTATAGTAATTTGCATTCCCACATAAGTTGTTATGAAAACATTCCTTCCAAGCTATCTGTACTACGAAAAAATATGCCAGGACCTTATAGACAAGGCCATTGCTAAAAATGTCATTCCAATGTCAGATCTGAGTAACAGGCTACCGTAACCACTTTTCCTCCCTGTAGACTCAGCTCATTTGTATATTATACTGTTCTTGGCCTCTTGAAACACCTATTTCTACTCAGGTACTCATTTTCCTATTAGTGATTCACCTTAAAACCAGTTTTCCTCCAAGCAGGCAGGGATATTGCACTTAGTTTCTGGTATCTGAATAACTTTTCGGTATTTGAATTGTTTCCCCATTTGCTTTCACCTGTACTAATTCTTTGTTATCTCAAATGGCATCCAAATCCAGCTACCTTTCATTCCAGAAGTTTCTATCCCCTCCACTTGGATTTAATTTGTCCTCCACTGTCCTGGTTCCTGGCCCTTCCTCTTCATGTCCTGTTTTACTTGTTTTGGGAGCTTAAATGATTTTATAAGACCTAATTTTGGGTTCCTGCATTGGAGCCATAGTTTTCTTACAGAGAAGAGTAGAAAATGGGTTCAACTCCTATTTCATTCCAGCAACATCTTGAGTCTCATCATCAGCTGATAGATGATGCCTTACAGGTTGCAATAGCACTGGAACTTTCCTAGAGTAATGGCTGTACTGTCAGGGTTTTTCTGGGCTCATTCTTCCACTGACTTAATTATGAGCTATGCTTAACAGAGTCCCAGTACAACTATTTTGCAGAACGGCTATTACCCTAGACTTACTATAGCACATATTGAGACATAGTTGTACTCCCTAGTAGATAGAAATTGACCCAACAATAAACTTTGATAATAAAGACAATAGGCTATGATGGTTTTATTTATTATTTACCTGCTAGCATTGTGAAAGGTCACACCTCAAACTGTGATTTACGCTTTATTCTCCATTCACGTTGGGGTGTGTGTGTGTCTGTCTGTATGTAATATCCTTGAATCAAAAAAGTGTTCATGGGATGGCAATATAAATGTTGGTGTCTGAAGACAAAGGAAAGAAAAATTACATATGTGGTTTTAAACTGAATTAAAAGTCCGGGGTGAGGGGCTGGAGGGAGGCCTGGCATGCATAGCTTTTTTCTTTCTTTTAACAATTTTATTTATTTGACAGAGAAAGAGGGAACACAAGCATGGCGGAGCTGGAGAGGGAAAAGCAGGCTCCCCGCTGAGCAGGGAGCCCGAAGCGGGGCTCAATCCCAGGACTGAGATCAAGACCTGAGCCAAAGGCAGACACTTAACCACTGAGCCACCAAGGTGCCCCATGAATAGCTTTTTTCCTCACTCAGTCATGTTTCAGATGCTCTCAGGGATGGTACGTTACCAAATCACATGAAGGAAATCCATAAAGGGATATTAGTCTCTTAAATGAGTGAAGGCATGCTAGCAAGTTGATGAACAGAGAAGAAAACTTAGTATCCTGTTTTCATAAATTTCTTTAAAAATGAAAGCATGAAGAACCTACATGCCCTTTCATGGTGTGCTTTTAGTCAAATTAGTCCTGACAATTTACTGTGCCCATAGATTCAATTAAGTAAGTAATCTACTATCCAAGAATAATCCAGACATTTTTTTTTTAAGCCATCAGAATCAAGTGCTGAACCCATTTGTTGGCCACAGCACATTAAGTCTGACCCCTAAAACCAAGCTTCCTTACCCTTATTCTACATCCTGGAGGCCTTTTAGCAAGAGCCAAAAATATGATAGAACACAGGCATTTATCTAATGGTCAGAGTAATCCTTTAGAAGTTAATTGTGGCAGGGCACCTGGGTGGCTCAGTCGGTTAAGCGTCTGCCTCCGGCTCAGGTCATGATCTTGGGGTCCTGGGATCGAGCCCCGCATCGGGCTCCCTGCTCAGCGGGGAGCCTGCTTTTCCCTCTCCAGCTCCGCCATGCTTGTGTTCCCTCTTTCTCTCTCTGTCAAATAAATAAATGAAATCTTAAAAAAAAGTTAATCGTGGAGTCCTGATGGCTTCAGGTGATGGTGGGGGTGGTGGTGTCTGAGGACGGGCTGCTTGGTTGATCACAGCAGGGGGCGGTCAAAGCGATGAGAATGTGTGCTGAGCCAGCACTCTGGGTGCCTGGTATAAAGTAAGGTGGGCCTTATCAAACCTGGTTTCCATAGTGATAACACCTGGAGCTAAAAGACAATTACTGACACTCCTGCAGGAAAAATCCGCTTTCTTCTGAGTCTGAAATTACCTGGTTTCTAACAGCTTTTTCCTCATGAGGAGAGTTATTTTTCTAAATGCTTGGTAATAAACAGTCACGACTTCACTCAGGATCTCACAGTTGGCAACAGAGTTGGAGCCAACCTTTGGTGGAACAGAGGTGTTCAAATCTTTCAGGGGCTCTCTTGAAAAATCCTAACTATCCCTCTACCTTCAACCCCATCTTTCCACTTTACAAAATGATTCTTGAGGAAAACCGGCATGGAAAGCAGATTTCCATGAAGGCCCAAAACATGAGGCAAAGGGAGTCCTCTGGTATCCTGCGGTCCCACCAGAGTAGGTGACTGTACAGATGTAGGCCACGTGCTAAAGAGCAGCAAGGGTCTGGACCTCCCCGGAAGCTATCACTGCAAGAGGCAGCAGGACATGGCTGAGGCTCCCGGCTGCTCTCCATGGAAGAACCCATGAAATCTCACACACACACTTAGCGTTAAGTCCCCAGATGTACAAATAGCCCAAAACAAAACCACTACATTCAGCTAGGTATCAGTCCAAATTCTTCTAAATCTGAAAAATGATCTAAAACTCTGAAGGACTTTTCAGACTTGTGCCAAGAACTGAAACTAAGGTGTTCAATTTTTCTCTTTAGTCTACACATCACAAAAGGAAGAAATGACATACCTAAGTTGGAACCCGTTCTTTAATGTTTCTCATCTAGCACATTCCTCTGAAAAGTCTGCTAAGATCTCATAGAGCAGGGCTTTTCAAACTTCTGTAGGAGGCAGTATTCCTTATATGTTTACTTTAATAAATACACAAAAGGAAAGTTTTCTCCCAAAAGGTTTATTTGTCACATTTAAAGTACAAAATCAAATACACAGACCCAAATACTGAGCCATGTATACATATATATACATAAACCACTTAGACCTACACAACCCATCTGTACATTCTAATATAACCACCAATACTATCTTTTGAGTAAAAAGCATCACCTCTAAAAAAACAAACTTTGTTATTAGTAACACTGCCAAATGTAAATTATTTTCACTTTATCATCTGATAAAGGAGAGAAACAGATATTGCATAGGAATTGGGGAATTTCTAAGTATAAATCCAGTATGTCTACATGGGCTTTTTAAAACATGTTCTATAGGAATAATCAACATATGAACTTGCCAATCAAAGTCTTTGGGCATATTAACTATAAAAGAAACTTAAGTTATGAGAAAAAAACTTTGTAAGGTTAATTAATTACATTCCAGGGTTTTTATTTTGGTTTTTAATGCAAAGAAAGGACTTTATTTTGTCTAACAGCACAGCATTTCCAGGTCCTATTCTCTATGGAGTTGTAATGAACTTTGGGGGAGATACCTCTATCTGTTAAGAATTAAACTGGTCACTAAAGGAGGTATATGATTTTTAACACTGTGTGGATTATTTTAGCCAAAATGCAAGAGCACAGTTATTTAGAAGAAAGGCAGAAATTTTAGGCTTGCTGGATACAGAATATATGCTGTCACTGAACACACAGATGTCCTGCTGATCATGGAGACTAAGTTATAACAGCTTCTTTGTTCTAGGAGGTCATCTACCTCACATGCAGACCACAGGATACTAAGCCTCAGATGCCTAAAAACATCTCTATTCCGGGCACAGAATTTTATCAGTGCTTACTCCCGTAACTGGGAACACATATATACATACAGAGATATGGGTCATTATCAAAGTCAGATTTCTATTAATGGCTTCACAGTAGCAACACAAAATGTACTCAGTGTCACATTTCCATAGGAAAATTTATATTTACACTATACACTTCAGTCTTGAAATGCGGGCCCAAAAAACATTCAATTCTCAATAACCAATGAATTTGCTGAGGGTCCCATACCCTCAAATCACCCTAATTTAGCAGAGCAACAGGCCTTCCTTGGCCGCCAGGCGCTGGCGGTGGACTTTGTCTTGCTGCAGTTCTTCATGATTGGGATGCCACAGTTTCATGATGATCCTTTCAATGTTGAGAGCATATACAGTATGTGTAGGAATGACTTCCCTGTGTACCTGTGATTAGAATATTCGCATGTGTCCAATTACATGTCAGTATATTTATTTTTCCAACATACAAAATTAAGAAGTAAGGGTTATATCAACAAAACACTCACACAAAAGATGCACAAACCTATCAACTATGAGCCAGAGCCTAATGAAGCTCCAACTAGATAACAAGAAAACAAAGAAAGAACAAGCTTCTGAAATAGGAGTAAGGGAACAAAAGGATGTTTTTCCTTTTCTTTCTTTCACGGGGGACATGGGGGCTGGGACAGGTAAGTTAGGAAGGAGGCCTGGGCCCTGGATTTGAAAAATGAGGGTAGCATTAATCGTTTTAATGACAAACTAAAAACTGAAAACCAAAACCAGGAAGAGGAAAAGCTACTGAATATCTTTGTAAACTCAAAGAAACTCTGCACCTACCCATAAATCTAGGTCAGCCTTAAGGGGCCGAGAGTTACCTGCAAAGCTTCGAACAGGTCGTACATGTTGACTGGAGGCACCGATGCGGGGAGAGTGTCCCCCGAGCAGGCCAGCAGGAGTGCGGCTTGCTGCTCCGCGTCGTCCGGGGGCGGGTGAGAAGCTGGGTTCAGACCAGCACACGGAGCAGAAAAGGCTGGAGGACTGAAAACAAAGCCAGGAACTAGGAAGGAGACAACTGAGCAACTAGAATAGAAATGGGCTTTAATACATCTTATTAAAAATATCTTAAAATGAAAGAGAAACCCAACTACAAATCCAATTATTTTTTAGCTAGTATATACATGAGTAGCCTGTAATTTTAATTTTCAAAGGCAGCCCATCTGTCAGGCCGGAAACAAAATGTACAGCAACTACATACACTTACACTCCTCTCTCTACAATGTTAAAAATATTTACTAAGCTCAGGATACTGAGCCAAAATGGTCTCCTGCCCTTAAAGTGCTTCTAGTCTGGGGGAAAAAAAAATAGACCTGAATTAAAGGAAAACGAAATTGAAAAACTGACTTGGGAGAGGAAGATAAAATGTAACTGGAGACAACAGGATTGAAAAATAACATGCAAGGAAAGAAGATAGAGCACAGAATAAGCAACAGGCAAAAATGGAGGATGGAGAAAATCCAAATCTTGCCAATTTCCCAAAACAGGACCCAGATATAGTATCAGCAGGGAAGTCAGGCATAATTTTTAAGTCCTAACACTGCAGGAGATGACCTATACAATTCTGAAGAACTTCCAGGAGGTAAAACAACAGTGAGGAGATACCTCAGATAAAAGCCCAGGCGGGGTATGAGCGTGGGTATGGGCATCAGACAAAGGCAGCCCTGTTGGGGAAACAAGCAGCTGCCAGCGAGGCAGAAGCCCTCCTGGGACTGGCCAGTGGGGGAGAGAGGGCAGCTCCGGAGGCCAGGCAGGGTCAGAGACATTGCTCCCAGCATTCAGCCACTAAAAGGAGCGCCCCCCCCCCCCCCGTTTTTGGTTTTATTTTTTCTAAAAAAGAATGACAAAAGAGAACAAATACCCCTACACAGATAGGCCTGAATGAGACTGAGAATGGAAATCTTCACATTTGGCAACCTAAATATAAGTAGTGAACCTAATTTAAGATGGTGCTCTTCAAACGGGGCCTTGTGAGCCATGGAAAGGTCTTTGGCCACGAAGGAGGCCCTGGTACAACCCCTCCACGTGCCGTCAACACCTTTGCTATGTCCAATTCTCTTCTCGGCTTTCCCAGCCTTCACGCTTTCCTACCACATCTTCTACCTTCCCTTCCTGTTAGTTCTGCACCCTCATCACTCCCACCAGCCTTCCCAGTTACACTTTTCTCTCTGAACTTGTACCTCCCTGTCATCTCCCTAACCAACCAGATAACTGGCACTCAAAGAAATTCAGTCACTTCAGTTACCACAAGAAAAATTACATCATTGCTTTTTCTTTCCCAAAGCCTTAAAATTTGGACTAAATTATTTGCAGGGAAGGAAGAAAGGAAGGTGGAGGGGTGAAAAGAGACAACACATGGATGAGAAGAAAGGTAATCCAGGTCATCTCATAAAGTGATGACTCAGGACATTACAAGTCCTGGGAGCCCTCCATGGAAGGTGGACAGAGGAATCCCAGAGCCTGGGGCCGAGACCGGGTCTGCCAAGAGCAATCTGATGACACTCAGCACAGGCCACTCTCTTGAGCTACAGCTACAGAAGCCACGTAAGGACGTAGAGAAACACCTCCCACCCCTCCTCCCGCCATCAAGATACCCAACGTTGACCCAACAATCACAGGCCATGCTTCTGACTGAGGGCTGGCCCACTTCTACCACCAGGCAGGTGCTGCCCCTTAGGAGCCATCAAAACGCACCGCCTCAGAGAACCATTCCATTCCACCTCAGAAAATGGGGGGCACTCACATTAAACCACATGTGGCAGCCTCTGCAATGTCACTTCGGATAAACAGCACCAAATAATTCACTAGTTATCATGCAAGGATGCAACTTAAGAAAATAAAACTGCACTGCTCTCAAAGGTACTTTAGACTTTACAGAAACATAATAACCAATTATTTAACAGGGGTCTAACACATAATAGTGTAGCAACTAGAAAGAATGGTTGCGAAATCACAAGAAACTTCATATACCTTTCTATTAAGTTGTTGTAAGCTACTACACTATTCTTCAGGTATGGCTGTGGGGTTACATTACTACCAAAGGCATATTTAAAATGACCATCACGTAACCGATAAGCTTTCCTTCTTGACACAACTGATGTCAATATATCTTTAAGGTGATTCTGTAAAAACAAGAAAGAAAAGAAAAATAGCATGAACTCCTGTTTAAAAGCAAATCATAAAACTTCCATTGACCAAAAAATGTTTACTAGCATTTAGTGGATGGAGATATGCGACAGGCTAGCATATGATGGAACCAACTGAAGGTTTACCAAAGAGCCACAGAGCCACACCAGAGTAGGAGGGTATAGGAAAGAGGGAGGTGTGCTATTTTTCTTTAGTTCTAGTTAATATGGGCTTGCTCTACATGAAATTTATTTAAAAAGTTATTTATATCTCTAAATTGGCTCCTCTCTCAAAACAGAATTTTCAGATAGCTTTAAAGAGAAGTACAAAAATAAATACATGGAATTTTTAAAAGGAGGCAAACTACCTTGAAATCTGGTTTAAAATAGGAAAAAAGTTTCAAGATCTAAGATTTATTGGTTATAATGCCCAATCTACTAAAATCCTTGCATGAAAAGAACGTTGGCTCTCTCAAAAGCCACATATACAGCAGATATACAGGAAATAAGCAAAAAATTAGGTATTTAATACCTCTTATGAGAGCCAAGTACATAAGAGAGGAATGGAAAATGTCTGTGAAAATAAAGAGACAGAGCTGGTCCCAGTCCACTAGTAGTAACAGGGGAGTTTTAAACTATACCAGTAAGATCATCTCATATGATGAGGACTTAATGATATACTCTGTCATTTCCACACAGAATTCATCCAATGTTTACAACTTCATGATCTATAGCTATTATGATCTTCGAGGTATATGTGAGGAATTGGAGGCCCCAAGTATTGGGAATTACCCAGTACCACCTGGCATACCTGTACACTATAGAACCCAATATATTCTGTCAAATAACTAAATGAATAAAGTGAATGGATCAAACAGTGTGCTGAGGCAAGAATCCCACTGTTTAGGCACGAAATCTAATGCTCTTTAAATGCTTAAATGCCGTGCCACAGCAAACATCAGTGATTTTAATCTTTAGGATTCTCAATCTTTTTTTTTTCCCCCTTAAAAACTGTTCCCCTGTTAAATTAAACACCAAGTTAAGCAGAAGTGTTATGCCATAATTAACCTCTCTGAAGAGCTTAGTCTGTTCACTGAAGGCAACCGCCTGGACCATGAGGTGTTTCTCTCCTCAAAAGAAAATAATTTCAGGATAACAATTCTGAGATGGCGACATTTTGGTTCTTTTCTTGCAGTCCCAACTTTCAACAACACACACAAGCTCGTTACATCCAACCTGTAAGATTGTTTCTGCCACCAGCAAACCAACCTCCACCGCATAGACAACCGCTGAGACCGCCTCCTCGGTGACGTTGTCCAACCCGTGCTCGTAAGCAGTCACTATCATCCTCCCTTCAAGCTGACCCCGAGTGGGAAGCATCATTGTGTGGGAACAAAGTTTCAAGTCATCATCATCTTGGGGATCCTTTGCCACAAACTGCTGGGCTCCCGAGAGGGGATTTTGAGGCTGGAATCTATGCTATGGGTAAGAAAACTTTTCAAAATTATTCATCACAGTGGCAAGTAGTAAGACAAACAAAAGTAACCAATTTATTGGACTTGAGATCCCAGAAATTAAGGCCACCAAAGCCATACCACAGGGGTTAAAAAAAAAAGTAACTCATGCACAAATAATCACAGATTCACACCCATTACATAGTAATAATGAAGACATGAATTAAGGGGAATAATGGTAGTATGCACAGTTTATTCTATTCAATTAATACCTTGGTAATCACAGAATATATGGCTCTGTGCTAAAAATTACAATTAGGGGAAAGGAGAAGATATAAAACTATTTTCAAACAAGTCAGAGCATTTTAAGTATACTCGTAAGTAAGCAAGTTCTGAAAGTAGAAATATATAGTAATACTCCAATTATGCTCTAAAAAGTCTAGCCAACCAACATGACAGATCTAATAACAGGTATTCCAAGAGAACACCAGACTCTGTAACTACTTTATATCATCTTCTACTTAAAATCCTCAACACACAATCTCATTAAGACACAGTCATTCTCATTATTTAAAATAGTTTTTCTCAGGGCGCCCGGGTGGCTCAGTTGGTTAAGTGCCTGTCTGACTCCTGATTTCGGTTCAGGTCATGATCTCAGAGTCATGAGATTGAGCCCCAAGTAGGGCTCTGCGCTCAGCAGGGAATTCGCTTGAGATTCTCTCTCCCTCTGCCCCTCCCCCTGCTTGCAGGAGCGCGCGTGTGCTCACTCTCTCTCTCTAAAATAAATAAATCAATCTTAAAAAAAATAAAATAAACCAGTGTTTCTCAATCTTTTCCCACCCATAAAGCTTCTGCCTTCCTCGGGTAGATTCAGATAGCCCATCTGTATTCTCCTTCATCAGTGGGAGATGTGCTGTTGGTAGCGAACATGACCTGTCCCTGTTTGAAGTTTGTATTACAAAAGAAACACTGGCTGTTTTTCCATTTTCCAAGTATAAAACTGTATTTTATAGCAAACATCCCTTTTTAAACCAAGGTATGCCTCTCTGGAGATACTGATGCCCTCCAGATTGAATATGATTGATAGAAAGCACAGAGCAAAGGTAGAAACATGTTTGTTGATGTTAATCAATAAACCTATCAACACCCAGTCAAATCTATAAAAGGAATACTTTTGAGAAACTTCCTTCCCCAAATACAAACAAAAAAGCAAGTTATGCTAAAATGTTTACAAATTTTATAGCCAAACACCTTCATGACTTCTCTGCTGATGCCCAAAGGCTCAGGGCCTAGCTGGGCATCACCAGGATCCTACCGGAGGCCTCCAGGCATGCCGGAGCCACGGAACAGAAGTCTTCAATGTAAGAAACATTATTCATTCCAGAAAAATATTTAAGAGAAGAAAGAATACAGGCATACTTTTTGAATCACTAAAAAATCATTAGGTACTAAGGAAAACATATTAATATTTATGTAATAACAAACTAGAATTATAAAAATTCAGACACTTGGGACTCACAGTCTTTGAAACTCTCATCAACTTCAAATACAGTAACATTTTTCCTCCTTGAATCATGCCCTTTTTTTCAACTCTACTACCAGTATTTTAAGATTTATTTAAAAACTAAAGCCAGTTTCATCACACCAGCATTTAAATCAGTTGTTATCAAGATCTATTGAGTAACAACCTACATCAAATTTCTGACGAACAGAAGAAAGCTTTTTCTTCCCCTTTGGTTTTCCAGGTTTAGCTGCAGAACCCCCCGTCCAGGGCAAAGATCCAGCACCCTCTGTGAGAGAGAAAAATCATAACCATAAGAGAAAATAATGACAGTTGTCAACTGCCAAGTTTGGTTTCATTTTGGGCTAAAAAAGTATGGAATGCTCAAGTAATGAAAATACATAATAAATGCTTAAATTCAGATCTTCTCTTTCTACTTTCTAAACAAAAGTATGAATCCTCTCAAATCACATTTTTTTCAGCTGTTACCAAAATTATTCCTTTATAAAGACAAATTTGTTTTCCATATTTTAATTAATGTTTATTGGGTGCTTTGTTTGCTTATGAGTAGCAGTAGTATCAAAAAAGGACAGAATTTTCTAGTTCAAAATGGCAAACAGAGCACATGAATTTATCTCCTCTCTCTTCCAAGACCCCACTAAAAATGGTAATAGTGGAAAGTAAACAGCACATATCCACAATGGTGACAAAAAGGAAGATGAGTGAAACAAGATGAGATCTCAACAAATTTCAACAATGAGCTAAAAAGGTGCTGAATTACAAGCAGACACATGGAAGCCGTAGCCCAGCAGAACCTAGGCTAGGTAAGGTTGGGAAATGCAGAAACCAGTCAACCTGTGTGGCAGAAACCCACAAAAAATCTGGATTTGGAGAAGGTAAGTACAGTGGAAACCAGGGAGGGATCAGTAAAGCTAAAAACAAGATTAATGGAAGGGCTATACTAAAAATCATCTACACAAACCCCTTCCCTCACCACTAGCAGTGGGCTCAGTACAAAATAAAAATGCAGGGTCTTTTGTTCAAATATTTACAATTTTAAAACAACCACAGTAGAGCACTAAGCCAAGTATGGGGTCCTTCTGAGTTCATGGGCAGTTCATAGGCCCCGAAGCTAGCCCTGCTCATGTCCATACATAGTGCAGTATTTATAGCAGCAGGGGGGAGGGGGAGAGGGAGCAAGAGAATGAAGACTCTCCTCTAGTTAAACTGAACAAAATTTCTGGGATTTACTAAGGTAGTTGGTAGGGATGTTGGCACCCTAGAGCACAACTCTCTGCGTGCTGGCATTTGAGAGACACCAGTTTAGCTGGCCTCCTGTCAGCTCACTTTAAAACAAAATCCCCAGGCATTGTATGCTTCATTCTTAAACATGATCAGCAGACATTTGACGATAATCTGTAACATGATCAGAAAGACCAAGCTAAACAAACAGAAAATAGAGGTCCCAGATTAAAGAATTCAGGCAACAAAAAGGACCTCAAATAATTTCTAACTGGTATCTTCAGAGAAGTTTGAAAAGATGTATATCCATAAAACAAAAAGAAGTATTATAAAAATTGCTGAATTAAAGAATGCATTGGCGGGGGGCGGGGCTCGGTGGCTCAGTCGGTTAAGCGTCTGCCTTCAGCTCAGGTCATGATCCCAGGGTCCTGGGACTGAGTCCCACATCAGGCTCCCTGCTCAGCAGGGAGTCTGCTTCTCCCTTTCCCTCTCCTTCTGCTGCTCCCCCTGCTTGTACTCTCTCTCTCCTTCAAATAAATAAATAAATAAAATAAAATAAAAATAAATAAAATAAAAAATAAAATAAATAAAATATTAATTAAAAAAGAATGCACTGGACAGAAAGAGTTGAGGAAATCTCACAAACACAAAGCATTAAGACAGATGTCTAAAATCAGTAAATCCAGAAAGAGATTTAAGCTCCAGTGAGGAGCTATCAAAGTCCTACCAGAAGAACAAGAAACAAAGTAGTTGTCTTTGAGAACAAGTCTAGGAGTGGGAAGAAACTTCTCATTATCAGACCTTCTGTATCATTTCTTTCTAACCCTAAGTGTATGTATATATAGTTTAAAGAAAAAAAAAAAAAATCAAAGTAATCCAAGCTCATTACAGGACACTTGAAAAAATTACCCCCAAAACTTTTATAAGACAGAAAAAAAAAAAAAAAACACCACTCATCATCTAAGCAATGACATTATTTCCATCTTGATGTTTTTTGAAGAATGAGTTTTTAAAGCTTTAAAAAAAACACTCCAAGTTTGTCAGTTAAAAAAAAGGGCTGTTTGGACACTTATCATGATGAGCACCTGAGTACTGTACAGAAGTGTTGAATCACTATATTGTACACCGGACACTAATGTAACACTGCATGTAAACTAGACAGGAGTTAGAAGGGGCGGGGGGAGAAGTGCTTGGGAAGTCAAGTTCCTCCTCCCCACCTCGTCAAATGTCTCACTGATGAGGACAGCCAATCACAGAAGGTTCCCAGAGAAACCGACTTGTGCTGGATGGCCTGGCTGTTAGGTGTTCACATTCCAAGCGAGGAGGCCCAGCACAGTGAGGAAGGACTGACTGACAACAAGGACAGTTTTCCAGCGGCAGGCAGATTTCAGTGGGAATCCAACACTTCCACTTACTGGCTGGATAAGGTGTCAGTTAAGTTTTGCTTTCATTTCTTTTTGTCTTCTCTGAAGTTTGTTTCCTAGTCCATAAAAAAAGAGGCTAACCCTTACACGAAAGAGTTGTTGCGAAGTTTAAAAAGAGCGCACAGTGTCTGTTGGCACTGCGGTCACTCGGTCAATATTATTAAAATCATCCTTGCTGCCTAGCTTAGAACAACAGAAAACCCATCCCTAAGTATTATACATACCAAGAACTATTTCTCTATTTCACTTTTAATAGAAATCATCTCTTTGTCGCCAGCAACTATTAATTTCATTTTGAGGAAATATATTCTGGGTGTCGGACAGAGAAATAACCTCTCAAATTCCACATGCTTCATCATTTATTTTAAAATCACCACTAACAAACATTCCTGAATATCAAAGGCTTTATTTAGTTAGAGTCAGCCACTTAACATTTACTAACACCACTTCGTATTTGTTCGGCACTTTTTAATTTCAAGGGCACTTTTTCACATGTTCTTTCGTCCGCTTTTTTATATCTATCTATAGGGCAAATGTTACTGTATTTTATAAATGTGAAAGCTAAGAACACCCAATAATTAACTATACCACCTAAGCTAGCGGCAAAACCTAAACTTGAACCTAAGTCTCTTGACTCCCATCAACCAGGGTTTTTACTCCCAATCATACCACTCACCTTTTGCACATATGCCCCTTTAGAATATACCTACGTAAAAAGCAAGGTCTAGTTCTCACAATGTTGGCTTTCCTGATCAAATTACATTTTACACAAAGGAGTGGGCCATCTTTCTGATCTCACTAGCTGAAGTCCACCTCTATCTAAAGAAAACACAACATCAGAAATCTGACACATGTAACAATGTCCAGCAAGGGGCAGTGTGGGGTAAGGGAAGCAGCCCCTACTAACCCCACTCTCCATAAACAAATGCTCACTGTTTACCACTCTACACCAACGACAACTTCTTGGGAGTGTGCAGGACTTGGACTTGAGGAGATTGTGTCTGAATTCTTTATCACACAGTAGAGCTTAGCAGAGAGAAACAACAGAAAGTACTAGTAGTCACTTCTACATAAAGATGACCGTCACAATCACCATGGGTCCTTTAAAAACAAAAATATTCAACTTAATCTACAGCAGGAGGTACCTATAAAACCAAGTTTTTAACAAGAGCTCAGGACAAGTTTAATTGTAAGGCAAATTTTTAATGTATTTAATTCTTTATTTTTGACTACTTGATTAAAATAAGATGGTTGAAAGAAGTGACTTGCACCACTTAAGCTCCAAAAAATTAGGGGCAAAGCAGTCACTGTTTCTCTCTATACCTATCCAGGGTGAAGTGGCAGAATTAGCTTCTACCTACCTCCCCCAAAAGCTGCAGCTCTAACCTTCCAGGTGCTACTACCTTACTTGAGAATACAAGTGAAAGTCAGGTTTTCACCATGTGGTTGCCCCTCCACCGAATCCTACGTCACCTTCTCTCTATTGTGGAAACTCTCTCCTAACACTGGCTGCCCTCAGCTTCTCCATCCTGACCGCCCACCCTCTTCCTCACTCGTCTTTCATTTAAGTAACTGAAAATCAAGCTGAGTGGACAGTAAAGACCAAAAGTCAATATAAGCGCAGGGAAATCACCTGCACAAAGGTTCTATAAAACAATCTGTACCTACATAATAAATGTTTTCTTCTGAGCAGTTCAAAGACCATTTCATTTGCAAACAACAGATGTGTCTGTTAAAGGAAGCTAAAGCCCAGTGCTCCATGGCTTTGCTAACTGACATCCCTGGAAATATTTCCACTCCCTTACCTGGTGTAGACACCAAAATCTGACAACGCGTAAGAATAGCCAGGAGGAAATCGTTGTGAGAATGGACTGAAAAAGGGAAGATTATCACAAATCAAATACAAAATATTTAAAACATAAGGAAACCATTATTTAACTTTGGATTATCCCCTATCCTGCCATTCTTTACACTTTAAACATCCATATTATTAAAATAATCTTACACACCACTAAAAACCCAATTTTATTTTTTTAAGTGAGAAGACTACAAAATGTATTGCAATTACTTATTTGCCATTTATTCAAATCTGGGAAAACTTCAGAACAGTAAAATAACTCCCCAGATAATTATTTTACCATTATCCTGTGTGAGAAGTCTATGAGCTTCAAGGTCAAACTCTTCTTTGCTGATCTTCTGCTTGAACCACAACTTTAAGTTAGCCCAGTATCTGCAAAGGCAGAGGCAGTATTAAGAACCAAGGGGTCTGCTTCTTTCCCAAATTCACCTTACCTGCTCCGAAACCCAGGGAAGGAAATTTTGCATTCCCTACTGAATAATGAGCTGAGTTGTGCTCCTCCCCCCAAATTCATATGTTGAAGCCCTAGTCCCCCCAGCACCCAGGAAGTGACTGTATTTGGAGACAAAGCCTTTAAAGAGGTAATTAAATTAAAATGGCGTCTTCAGGATGGGCCCTAGGCCCATGTGATGGGTATCCTTGTAAGAAGAGATTAGGACGGACACACACACATACACACATACACACACACACACACCAGACAGTGGCCAGAGATTAGGACACACACACACACACACACACACACACGACAGTGGCTATCTACCTGCTAAAGGGAGAGGTCTCAGAAAAAAACAACCCTGATGACACCTTGATGTCAGACTTCAGCCTCCAGAACGATGAGAAAACAAATTTCTGTTGTTTAAGCCACCCCATCTGTGGTATTTTGTTATGGGAGCCTTGAAAACCAATACGCCTAGGAATCAGAATACCAACAGAAGGAGAAGGAAGAAAAGTTTTTCCCAAAAGGGACTGACAGGTAGGCCCATAATTGGGCTCATGAATCAGTCAAAAGCCACAGCTGTACCTTTCCTTCCTCTCTGTTAACTTTCTAAAAGACCTACCCTCCAGAATCCTACATTTAAGATTTATATTTTAAAAGTATTATTATTAAAAGTATTAACTTTTAAATATTAATTTCAAATACACTAATTTTCTAATTATTAACTATAGTTAATAATACTCTATTGTATATTTGGAAGTTGCTGAGAGATCTTAAAAGTTCATAAGAAAAAAACTTCATAGTCTGTATCATGACGGTTTTAACTCCTTACTGTGATGATCATTTTGCAATATATTTAGAATATTTGTTATACACCTGAAACTAATATAATGTTATATGTCAATCATCCCCCAATAAGAAAAAATTATATTTTAAAAGGTGTATGTGTTTTATGGGTTTGGAAGTGGTCATTAATACTGATCCTGGTAACCTCCTTCCTTTCAAATGAACTCAAGTTTTAATCTAACTGGCTGAAGTATTGAGTACCTAAAACACCTCACCACAAAGAAAATACCTGTGGATATGAGAAACTTAGTGGTTTTTAAAGTGAAAACCAACCACTAATCATAAAAGGTACCAGTTAACTAGCAGGAAAAAAAAAAAAAAGATTTGACCCTTTATACCTTAATATTAGAAATAGGAGTAAAATACGACTTTTCACATCCACAGCCTTTGATTCTGTGTTTAAGGAAGCTGCTCCCTGCTCATGAAACAGAATTAAAAATTACTCAGTCCAGGGCGCCTGGGTGGCTCAGTTGGTTAAGCGACTGCCTTCGGCTCAGGTCATGATCCCGGGGTCCTGGGATCGAGTCCCACATCGGGCTCCCGGCTCAGCGGGGAGCCTGCTTCTCCCTCTGACCCTATCCCCTCTCATGCTGTTTCTCTCTCTCAAATAAATAAATAAATAAAATCTTTAAAAAAAAAAAAAAAATTACTCAGTCCATGTCTTACAATCACTTTCAATTCACACTTAGCTACTTTCTGATGCTCGAGTTCCTGACAGAAAAGAAAAAAAAAAGATGGTTTAATGCTCTCACTGCCTTATTACACCCATGGCAGGGCTTCTCCTGAACACAGATTAGCTTCAAGTCATTTAGTATGTGTCTCTGTATCTAACCGGCCATGTATGCATGTAACCTCATGCAAAGCTTTGGGTTCACATGCATTCTTTTTTTCCAGGAGAAAACTATAAGCTTTAAGGGAGTCAAAGTTGCCCAAGACCCATTTCACTCAACAGCAAAATATGTTTAGTTTTAGAGTTTGGCACGACTTTTCACCTGATACTCCTACACTCGTTAGTCAATAACTTCCCAACAATGGACACTTAAATGCTTTTTTTTTTTAAAGACAGGAACAATTATGAAATGAAATTAAAGCTCCACAGAAAAAACAAGTCTTTTCCAAGCCCATTCTATCCAACAAAAGATAGTAACAGGAGACAAATTTCGTTACTTAAAAGCCCCGTGTCACTATTTTACAAGAAAGATGCAAATGTATTTGTATTTTGAGTGTGAACTTGTAAGTAAAACAAGGCTCTATCAGGAAGCTCTACCAACATGATACTACCTATCTTCTCCAATGGCAAACTTTCTAGCCCAAATAGCGAGCATCCCTTCCAAGATTTGGAAGACCTGCTCCCCAATCCCAGTCTCTGTGTTACCTTGCTGTATAGCTATGAACAAATAACTGTTTTCCTCAACAGTTGGGGAAAAAATTAGTCAACCTCTATGAAGGTGAGGATGATGGAAGAGAAATGTAAGTGGGTCAGACTAGGAAGCACTGAAGATACGTAGAGAAAACTAAATAACATGATCAAGTCACCAAAAAATCCAACACCTCTCTAAACAGGACACTCTCCTGGGTATCACACAAAGTGAGTAAATTGGCAAAGGCATGTCCTTCTAGAAGCTGATGTGGGCATGCAACCTGACATAAAGGCACTTGGACCACTAGATAAATAGAAAACAACTCTTCTCTGGATTCCTTATACACTCACTCTGTTCTACCTACCACCAAGGACCATGTTTGAATAGCCAAGTTATATAAACCAAAGCAAACTACTCATGGAAGAAATATGAGAAAATACTATATAGCAACATTATAGAGTGTTCAACCAAGAGACACTTTTTAAGGAGCAGGAGGGAAAAGACAGTGAGAGAATGGAAAAATACAGAACAACACTGTGCCATTAACTATTCCTGGCACCGAAGCATATTTTGATTGCATTGTTAGTGGAGATTCACGCTACAGATGCACCAAATTCAGCCTTAGCACCTATATTTGACCAACATCTGATAACCAGCATTGGCCTTTAAAGACCAAATAGAAAATACTAACTTCAAATTTCTGGCAACCCTGTGTGATATGTGTGGGATCACAGAAGTCACCATCACATCTAATCAGTAAATCACACACAGCCAGGTCTTGCAAATTTATTAGAGTATGGAAATACTTTCAAATACTTTAAGCATCCTAGACATAACAGTAAAAAGTCAACTGTGCTTAAAAATGTAAATTTTAGCAGTGTTACAAAAGTAACAAAGTATAGTATTTAATGAATTGTGAAAACTGTTAATTTTACCTATTAAAATAATTAATTTTCAATTAATTAAGCAAAGAAATTGACAGTAAACATGAATATTAAAATGTAATTTTAGGTAGAATACTTTATCTTTGGGAGTCAATAAATGTTCAGAAAAATTAAATAATGATGCCAAAAAAATAGATTGGGATTTTAATGCTAGTGTCTGTAGAAGTTTAACGTTCACGATATTAAAATAATCTTTAAGAATTATATTTTGTTTGGGGCGCCTGGGTGGCATAGTTGGTTAAGTGTTAGACTCTTGATTTCGGCTCAGGTCATGATCTCAGGGTGACACTGAGCCCCAGGACAGGATCGGGATCAGTGTTCAGGCACGGAGTCCGCTTAGCATTCTCTCTCCCCCTCCAGCTCGTGCTCTCTCTCTCTCTCTCTCTCAAATAAACAAATAAATCTTTAAAAAAATTATATTTTGTTTCTAGTTATTCTGTTTAGGCCATGAGTGTTTCAAAAAGTCTTCCATGGGAATTCTGCATATCTTGCCAGGATAAAAAGCAGAATGTCAACTCCACCACCTCAAAACTTCACAGAAAGGAAAAATTCCAAAATGATGTATGACAGCCAAGTAACTTCAATCTAGTTATAACAAAGACTATAAAGAAAAAAGAGAAGAAGAAAGTGTCCCCCAAATGCCTTGCTCCTTCAGCAACATTTCTGAGTGACCATCTACTGTGTAATGCAAATGTGTGGAATATCACAGAAGCCACCTAGCAGCAACAACGCAGGCATTACAATTTTAAACATTTAAGATTTGCTTCCTATATTTTTAAAAAATAAAATTGTAATAACGATTCGTGTTCTGAAAACTTCCAAACCCGTCCTCCTACTTCAGAAATACATTATTTGGCTTCGGCCTCGGCTGAGCATGGTTCGTACATCCCGCCATGCAGCGTGTGCCCTGCCTGCGTACTCGGTCCCCCGCTCTGGCCCAGGTCTGGCTGGGTGCAGGTTCCTTTGGAACCCCTTGTAAGGTTTCAGTGCCAGGACTCAGGCACGAGAGGCCTAGCATAACCTCTCTGGATCTCAGTCTTCACATCCATCAAACGGGAGCAACAACCGTACCTACCTCACATCTCTGCTGTGAGGCTTAGATGAGACAGTACATTTAGAGCGCTTAAAAGGTGTTCAAATAACGTCCGCTACTGAGATCATCACTGTAACCGCAGTGGTGCTCGGCACGTTACCGGAGGGTCTGTCCGCCTTCCGAAATTGCTGTCAGTGCTCTACAACGCAGGGTCTACACATCCCCCGACCTCAAGAAGCTTCCGCCTCCAAGAAGCCCTCCAGGGGCGGGCCGCCCCGCGCCGTGCCCGCTCCAGCCGGGGCGCGTCGGGCTCCCGGTCACTCGGCCCGGGGCAGGCCTCACGCGTCCCGAACTCAGCGCAGGGGCCCGCAACCGTTCAGTAGGCCCTTGGGCGTGGAATGCGCCTCTCCCGCCCCACCCCGGGCAGAGAGTCCCGGGCGAAGGCGCCCGCCCGAGCCCCGAGGGAGCCAGGGAGGCCCGGCCCCTGCGGCTGGGCGAAAACGGGTTGCACGCCCGGCTCTGGCCCGAGAAACCCGGAGGCCCCGCCGCCCGCGACGCGAGGCACCACAGGCCTCGGGGCGGCGAGGGGCGTCTCCAGGGCGGGTCGGCAGCCCGAAGCCAGGGGAGCACCGGCGCGGAGACCTGGAGGCTGCGCCAGAACAGCTCTTACTGTTTCACGTTGTCCCCCAGGGCCTCGCTCAGGTTCTTCTTGGCCGCCTCCAGCTCGCTCACAAAGGTCGCCATTGCTCCCCACGTCTCAGCCCGACCGCAGACGGCTCTGCCACAGTGACCAACAACCGAAAAACCAATTCGGCGAGAGTCGGCGCTGGAGGCTCGGTCGGCTCCGGTCTGTCCCGCCCCCAGTCGCTCAGAAGACGTTTATTTGGTTTTCGGCTCCGCCCGCCTTCCTGAAGAGAAAGTGAGGAGGCAAATTCGCTGTTTTCTCAGTCGTCCTCCTCCCGCCCCTTCGAGTCACGTGATTCGTTTCGTAGGGCCCTCCCGCGCCCAACTTAAACCCGAGGCCAAACTGGCCTGCAGCGACGCCTGCAGGGCGGGTGCTTCCCAGCTCTTTCAGTCTGTTACCTGCTGGGCAAATTCCAAATCCGGCCTTTCACCCAGATGAGTATCTTCCCCCGCAGACCAAGAAGTAAATACTGTATCAGTTTGGTTCTCTTTCCTTGCCTTAATTTTCGCCAAGCACTAATCATGTACTATGCCACTTAATAGACTCGTCTCGTTAATTTTCTGCCTCCTCCAGCTAAAATGTAAGTTCTATGGAAACGGGTTGTGTGTTTTAGTCACTGTTTCTCCCCCAGTTCCTAGAGCAATGCTCGGCCCATACTGGGCTCTCAGTTAATATTTGCTGAGTGAATGAAGTAATTGTGAAAAATAAGGAAAATACACAGAAGGATTAAAAAAAGAAAGAAAGAAAGAAAAAGTGTTTTACCACCACCTCCGGACAAATTCTTAACTGAGATTTCTCCCCCGCCTGCCACACTCCCCATAATTTGTAATCATGCTCTATCTTCAGTTGTGCATCTTGGTGGGTTTTTTAAAGCTTGATATGATAATATAAATATTTTCCTCTGGTATTATAGTGTCTTTATAGTCATTTTAATGACAGCTTTTTAAATACCCCACAGATAAAATGTACACAATAACTTGTTTCCTAACTGTTAGCCTGATTGGTTCCATTTTTTTTTTTCTCTATTAAAAGCAATACTGTAATAAACTTTATGCATAAAGCTTTTCTTCATTTTGGATTACTACTTTAGGATGGAGTCCCACAAATAGAATTATTGGTTTAAATTATAAGAATATTTTTAAGAATCTTGGTGTATATTGTCAAATTGTTTCCCAAAGGTTGAAAATAATCCTAATTGCTCTGAAATCTTGTGTAATTTCTCTACAGAGGCCTCTTCAAGCTGCTTCCTTTGTTCAGCGAATAGACAGCTACTATTATGTGCAGGGAACTCTTGTGTGCTGGATTTACAAAGATGAACAAGGCAGGTAAAGTCTTCCTATCTGTGTCATAAAACTCCAGAGAAATCTTGACTTTTTAAAAAGTAGTTTTCCACTTCTGCTTTTTCATGGCTCCCCACTGTAGACAGAAAGAAAGAAAGAAAGTCAACCACCAAGTAGGCTAGTAAATGCTTTATTCATTGTCTTACTGAGGACTATAGCCCAGCAGCAGTCTTTCAAATTGCTCTAAAGAACTGCTCTGAAGCTTGTTATATATTATGTATACAAATTATGTATATAAAATTATTATATGTACATAAGGGGAAAGGGGTACATGTGCTTGCAAGCAGATCTCCAAATACTTGTGCGTCACAAGGTATAATTTTTTAGAGTTCTAAAAATGAAGGTTTACTGATTTCCACACAGATGTGAGAAAGACCCTTAAGTCATCTTAATACATTATGTTTCTATCATGTCTGATTGTTCAAAAATATTGTTTGAATACCTCTATTTAACTGGTTTTCCAGTTCTTCTTGTTCTTGATTTCTCCTTGAGGTCACTTGAGATGGTCACAGAAGGTTGACATCAGTCACCTACTGCAGTTTTAGTAAATGCCATTGAGTATTGAACAAATTTTAGACTCCTCAATCTGGCCTTCAAATTTTCTTATGACCTGGACTCTGCCTATCTGCCCAACTCACACACATCCTGGCCTGTCCCCATCACCCCTTAGAATGTACTTTGCATTCCAGTTATTTGACTTTCTATAACAAACCACATGATTTACACATACCTTTATGTGTACATACCCTTTACACATATCTCCCCCTCTGCTGGTTTTGAGACCTATGGGTGGCTACCTACATTTTTCACAGGCAGGTTCAAACAAGTATAAGAACCTGTTAAAGGGGCAATTCAACAGCACTAGGAAAGGGTACAAGGAAATGTTTAGGTATATCTTCCAGGAACAGTCCTTGTTTCTCATCTCTATCACTACTTCTCCACTAAGAAGAATATGACTCTTATCACTTCATATCTGTGCTTGATAACACCTGAAATGCTTTACATCTAGTTCAATTAAATATTTCTTTTTCTCTCATCACTTTGTACACCTATTAGCACCAATTTCAGTATAATTGTTCAATGTCCATTTAAACTGTAGCGTTAGACAATATAACATACACAGAAGTCTGACCAAACAATGTACTTAATAGAAATAAATATCAAAAACATTTGTAATTTCGCAGTTGTCCATTGACAGATGAATGGATAAAGAAGATATGGCATATTATATATATACATATATACATATATATATGGCATGTTATATATATACGTATATATGTATATATATAATATGACCCAAGCTGAAGGCAGATGCTTAATGACTGAGCCACCCAGTCGCCCCTGGTAATTTACTTTAAAGAAACTAATTCTAAATCTTCTTTTAGTGATAGCAATAGTTACACAATGCATAACACATACAGACAACTATTAAATGGTTTCAGAGGATGTAAGTTAAAGTAGTTCATAAAGTGTAAAGAATTCTACAAATAATACTTTAGTTTTTTAAAATCTAGTTTTTGGACTCTCCCATAGCAATTTTCTCTTCCCCAGTTGCAGGCTAGTTTTAGGGTAACTAGTAAAGTCAACTCAATAGGATATTGGGAACAAACAATATAAAATAACAGTTTCTATTAGTTACATTATCCATATCTTTTTTCCACTTAATTAAAATGAAGTTAAAGGTTGATAGTATTTATACATTGACTGTTTTTATGCAACTTCTTTCAATATGCAATGACATAATCATAAATATCTGATATAAATATAAATATAACTGTGTACAAATACAGTACAAAGGAAAGCCCCACAAAAAGCTTATTTTCATACCAATTTTCTTTAGGTATCTATGAAAGCTTGCCCTCTGCTTGCTTAATTCTTCCCCATTCTGTGTTTTATAAAGCATCAAATTTTTGGCAGTAGGATTTGATGTTGATGGAGTTGTGAGATGTCTCAGCTCTGGATATCATGGTATTGTTGCTATTATTGTTCACAGATACCATATTTAGGATTTTTAGATCTATTTATAAACCACTTTACAAATAGTTGTTGATTGGCTTTCTTACTCCAGTCATTAACATTGGCTCATTAACCTTCTTCCCCGAGCGCCGCCACCAAATGTGTGAGCTGTTGTTCCAATCCAGACATCAGCAGCTCTGCTTTACTGAAAGGACTCGTACGGTTCAGCCTTAAAATATTATTGATAATATTTTTAGTCACCCTGTTGAATTAGCCATTATAACATTCACTGTAATTTGCAATACTTATTATGTGGTACACTATGCTACATGTGGTATATAATATGTATATTATACACAATGATACCCAGTGGCGCACACTCACCATATATGTCTGTCAGAATAAAATATTCTAGAAAATTCTATATAATGGTCTTCCTAATCTATATCTATATTGAGGTACAGATTTTAATATATTAAAGGTTATAGACTAGAATATATTAGGTCCCAGTTAAATTTATGGCTGTAAACAATTAGACATGTCACCCTGACACCACATATATTTATTTTATGTCTGCCAGAAGGAGGTAAAGAGGCTCTTAATCTTTTTTTTTTTTTTTTTTTTTAATGCCATGGACTTCACTGGCAGTCTGGAAAAGGCTTTGCAGCCCTTCTCAGAATAATCTTTCTAAATGCATAAACTACATAGGGTTATATTTTAAACAGTTTTATTGAAACTGTTCTATCCTTGAGTCCCAGATTAAAACCCTCTGAAGCTTTACAGATACTTAATTTTGCTCAGGCTGCTATGACAAAATATCACAGACTAGGTGGTTTAAACAACAGAAATTTATTTTCTCACAGTTCTGGAAGCTAGAAGTCATGATTAAGGTGCCAGCAAATTTGGTTTCTTGTGAGGGCTCTGTTCCTGGTTTGTAGATGGCCATCCTCTTTCTGTATCATCATAAGGCCTTTCTTCAGTGTGTGTGTGTGTGTGTGTGTGTGTGTGTGTGTGTGTGTGTGTGTGTAGGGAGAGAGAGAGGGAGAGAGCACAAGCATGGGAGCTCTCTGGTGTCTCTGCTTGTAAGGACACTAATCCTATTGGGTCAGGGCCCCACCCTTATGACCGCCCTTCACCTTAATTACCTCCTTAGAGGCTCCATCTCCAAACACAGTCACCCTGGGAGTTAGGGCTTCAAAATACGAATCTGAGGGGGGATGCAAATATCCATGCCAAAACAGTACTACAGGAAGTGAACAATAGTTTTCCATTCTCTTTCTCAGAAGTTCTTGGAGATTAAAGTTCTGGGACTCTGAGAAACAGAAAACATCTAGGGATTCTAGTAAATGAAAGACACCTAAGCAACCCTAAGAATACCGAAAAGTAAACACTGTTTTTACATATATTTTGATACTATCATGGTTGACTTGATCAAAGCATTTTTGCTGGAGTTAGTCTCAGAATAGTCTCAGAAGTTAAGGGATAGAAGGAAGAAGCATGATCTGTGACACAGATGGACAATAATTAAGAGCCAGTCAACTAACTGTACAATACTTATACATTATAAAATGTAAATAACTCTACAAACATTACCTACTCTAGTTTTTAAAATCTGTTTTTAAAATTATCCTGTGACAATTTGCCTTCCCCCAGTTAGGGGAGTGTGAGTAAAAATGTAAGTATTGTAAAAGACTGAAAGAAGATTTAGAACTAGGACAATCAGAGAGCCGTTGTGTAGCTCAGTTGGTAGAGCAGAGGACTGTAGGTGGTGATGGCTCGAGGTAGGACAATCAACTGAGAAGAGAGGCCCAATAGAGTTTATTATTCAGCTAAAAGGGCAGAATAGGGGGCAGACCTGGACCACAGATTAGCTTCTGAGGACAGAGAGGCAGCCAACCTTGGGCATAGCCCCTTAGGTCTCCCCAGGACATTTCTGTGCCTTGAAGGGAATCTCAGAAGCAGCTCTTCATTCTTTTGCCCTTTCTCACTCTGACAGCCTGACAGCAAGACCCCCTTGGTTTTGTTTCTGTGATGATAGTAAGAACACTACAGACAGACTGTAATGAGACAGCAGATGGCTCAAAGAGCTCCCATTAGGGATGAAGTTAATTTGGGCATATCAGTGGTATTTGTGGGACCATCCTTTAAACTTTCTAAAACACAAATTATTAAACTGCATGTGTTGGAAAACCACCCCTTCAAACCTCTGTCAGCGGCTAGCCAAACTGAAATTTGGAAAACGTGGCTGAAGCCTTTGGCCAACCCCTCAGAATGTGGATAAGAGCTTCTCCGGGTGCTAAAAAATATTTTTGTGTAGTGATGGAGGTCAAACATTAGAGAGATCTTTGGCACTGGGACCACTTGGGGAGATTCCAAACTGACACATTGGCATGGATTTGCTCATGACATCCAGCCTATGCTGGACGGAGACCAGACTATACACCTCACCCTCTGGAAAGAAGAACAGCCTCAAGGGCTGACCCAGAAAGATGAATTGTCGTCTGCAGTTGCCCTGAAAAGCCTGACCCTAGGAAAGGAACTTGATAAGTAAATTTTTGGAAGATTTGGCCAGTGCTTATTGTTTGAAATCCAGGAGGTGATTTGCTGCTCTGAGTTCTAGCGGCAATCCCATCCACCTGCTGGAGTCCTGAGTCCACTCTCTTTGTGGGAAACCATAAGCCTGCTGGGAGTCAGTGCTTCCTCCAAAGTCAGGAGCTTAGGCTTGCATACCTTTTCTTAGCTTCATGCCTAATTTCTTTAAAGATTTTTGTTGCTTTTGTAGAGATATCTTTTTCATCTGTTACATTTAAATTTGAAAAACCACCTGTGGTTAGTGGTAGTCATTGAACAGCTCAAGGCCAGACCCTCCCTTACGGTGTGGAACCCGTGCTTTAATAGTGGGTGTCTTTGCTTTGCACCTGGCTTTCATGGCACTCTTCACATTTCACCCGTAGCTGTGATATTTGCTCTACACTTGGAAAAAAATGCCCTTTATTCCTAGTTTGCTGAAAGTTTTTACCATGCAT